CAGATTTCAGGGAGTCCAAGAGGACATGTAGATATGGATTGCATGCACCTCTTTCAAGGACCTTAAAGAAGACTACACAGCGGCAGGACAATAACTGAGGGGGCTTTGCCAAAGCATATTGTTTTAAGGCGGGAAAAAGTGGACATATGCATCTTAGCATCCCAAAGGAGCAAGGCTGGTCATGAGCAGTAAGGTCACATATGGACCTACAGGCTGCACACAGGGACCCCAGGGCTGGGGACAGAGCCAGCTGGGGCCAGTAGCTGTCATAGCATCCTTGACATGCAGTGGCTGAGCCCCTTCCTCACAAGAGCAGCACCCAGCCGGGGTCACTGGAATTCACCTGATGTGCAGCAGCTTGAGGTCCTGCTCAGCTGGGCAGCATCCAGTGACAGGGTAACTGAAGGGCCAGGGCCATGGGTGGTGGGGTAGTTGCCAGAGTGACGGGTGAGGCGATTGTTTCAGGTCCAGAAAGCAATTAAAGGCCCCACGCAGTGCTGATTAGGCAGAGAGCAGGTGGCCAGGGATCACACACACGCTGTCACTATCTGCAGAGCCTTCATGGCCAGCTCGCTGTGTGCCCGCTGCTCTGCAGATGTCACCCACACTCTCTCCAAGCAACTGAAAACGCACCCTCTCTCAGCAGTGGTGGAGCGGTTTGTCCAACATGCTGCATTCTCTAGCAGAGAGCTGCAAGGGTTTTCTTTTTTCTTAAAGATCTAAAAGTCCAGTTTAAAATGACGCCAGTGTAATTTGCTGCAAGTGTCCCTGTCGTTCAAGAAGCCTTGGGGAAGCCTGGGCTGCTTTGTCGGCCAACTTGCTTCCCCTTCCACTGTCTGCAGCATCTCTGCTTCCCTGAATTCATAAACTGCCTTTGTTCGATTTCTCCCAGACACCAGCGGTGCCTGTTTGCGTAGTGAATTCCCAGAAGGAAGGCCGGTCTTATCTGTCAGTTCAGAGCATTTTCACTTGTTTTTAAGTGAAGAAGTCAGTGACTCGGGAACTATTAAAAAGCACCAAAGAACATGTTGGCAGAAGCTGCTTAATTTCCTTCCCGCATCTCCCGGCCAGGGGCAGCTGGACAGAGCACCCCTGCCTAGTGGAGCTTGGCCGTGGGCCTGCTCTGCACAGCCACTCCCTTGCTGCGTTCTGCAGTCACTGGTACTTAGGGAAAGGGATTTTAAAAGAAAGCTGTGTGTCAAGGGCAAGAAGAGCTCCTTTCTCTGGCCCTGCGAGAGCTTCACAAAGCATTGACCTGAGAAAACGTGGATGCTGAGGTGGGATCAGGGCAGTGGCAGGGGCCTGTGCCCACTTACGGCTCTGCCCCACACCTGCCTCAGAGAGAGGCCTGGCTCTAAACCCCAAGGGCTGGGGAGTGAGTAGGACCCCACAGTCCTGCAGGGCCACTGCACGCCATCATCTTTCATCTTTTGTCCCCAAGCCTAGAGCCTGACACTGACTCCTGCTCCCAGGGGAAGAGGAAACAGCTGTGGACAATAACCCAGGATTGCAGTTGGAATAGACTCCTCACTACACAGGCACAGGGACTGCCAAGCTCTTCCCTTTGAACACCATGCAAGATGTCCCTGGGTGCAGTGGCTTAAGGCACAGAGCAGTTGGCCAACTTTGTGCCCAGCGTTTATAAACTGAGCGCTGAGAATGGGGAACTTACTGCTAATCAGAGTCATTGTAGGAACCCTTCGCTGAAGGCAGGCACTTGGAACTTAAGAGAACAAATACATTCTGATTCCGAGAGCTAGGGTTAGGCACGGGCCCAGGGCAGAGGCCTTGGGAGGGGCTGTGGACCTCTCAGAGGCGGGGTCCTAGATCTTTAGGGGCAGCCCAAGGGGGACTGGGGACCCCAGCCAGCCCTCACCCTGCTTCCTGGCTCCAGCACCTGCTCCAGCCTTGACATGCTGCCCTCTCCAGCAGCCCACACCAAGGCTGCATGAGCAGGATTTGATCTTCCAGAGCTGTGAGCCCGAAGGAAGCTGCACTTCCTGAGTAGCCTGTGTCGGTATTCCTGAGAGCGTGGGAAGCTGACGGACGAAGGGGTGACTGAGGAATGGACCTTGTTTGAAGCCACAGTGTGCACAAGGCTAGTAGAGGCCAAAGGTTGGCGACAGCTGCATGTCCAAGGACGGGCGCAGAAAGGCAGAAGCAGGTAGCATGAAGAGACACCAGTGGGGACACGGCCCACACTGAGGAGCCTTTAGGTCTCTGCGCAGTGGAGACCCTGTGGGCAGTTTGTGCAGAAGGAGCTACCGTCAGGTTTATAGTTCAGAGTCAATGCTAGCAGCAGCATAGGAGATGGAGTGAAAGAAGCACGCGGGAGAGGCAGAGATCATGTTATGAAGCTAGAGCTGTAGCTCAGGGAGTACGGAGGGTCTGGATCAGGGCAGAGTCCATTCATCAGCCACTCAACAAACAGGCACTCTCTCCCCTGGGGGAGAATGCGGGCAGCACAGGTTACCGCCCACTGGTCAAGGGGCAGATCTTGGCCCAATGGTCATGAGGGCAAAGGCTGTGGTCACGGGCCAACCAATGCCTCGGCTGGAGCAGAGAGCAGTGTGGTGATGGGGAAGGAAGAGAAATGAGTAGAATCGGAGTTATTTAAGGACTGAAATCAGTGCCTGTGGGGACAGACCTAGTGCAGTTAAGGAAGGGCCTGTAACAAGACGGTGAGGGTGGGCTGTGTGTCTCAGCAGAGGCAGTTCTGCTTCCGGAGGCAAGGAAGGCTGGGAGAGGGGTGTGTACGTACGTAGGTGGGGTGCGTGTGCAGAGATTGTGAGTCCAGGCCTGAGATGTCTGGTTTGGGCTGTGTCTTTTCAGCAACGCAAGAGGTCCAGAGTCCATCCAAAGCTCAGGCATGAGAACCCAAACACAAATAAAGAGCAAAATGAAACAAGGGTAATAGAAGCAGGGAGAATTTTCTCAAATGGGAAGGGACTGAGATGAAGGGATAAGGGAAGAAGGAAAGGAGAGGGGTTTTAAAAAGAGAATGGAAGAAAAAATGGAAATAGAACTTTTGCAAATGGGAAGGGACCGAGAGTTGGAGGGAAGAGGGGGAGATGCGGGGAGGGGACGCAAAGGAGTTAAGGTGCGTTAGGTACCAGCGCCACGTGATGCGTGTAATCATATCCACTGCACACACGCGCTAATGAATAATCACAGAACATGAAAGGCAGGGCCAAGGGCGGCAGTCACCGTGTACAAGCCCACTAGTTTCCTGACCAGCAAAGTTCACTTTGTCGCAGTATATGCTGTGTATTCACAGCTAGGTGGGTAGTCAGGCAGAGGTGTTGACCACACAAGTAATGAAAAGCTACCACTCCACGTCGACTGTCAAGTATCATAGTAAATTCTCTGCTCACTGCCTCGCTCATCCCTGCCACTGTTCAGAAGCACAAGTCATATTTTACTCTCGCTTCACTCATGCAGACACCGAGGCCCAGGGAGGACAAATAGCCTGCTGACGGTGACCCCACCAGCGAATGGCGGAGATGGCACCCTATGTTTACCTCCCAAACTCAACAGCTCTGCAACACCACCTTCCTCTGCCCTCCACTAGAATTTTTAGTATCAAGAATATTTGGAGCAGAAAACACATCATTTTCTCAACACGCACATACTGACACCTCGCATGCTCTGCAGAAAGTACACATTTATACCATGATCTTTGTGCAAACATTCTCACTCTGAGGTCTCTTCCAGTTTCATCCTGTGAATAACATATTTACTTTGTGGTCAGAGACTAGCTTTGTGACCTCATTTATCTTAACATTATGTCAGACACATTTTTGTTTCTGTGATCTTCAGAATCACTTTTTAATAACCATGTAATACCTCAGTGAGTGGCCATGTGATAATTGAGTAAACTTCCTTAACGATTTCCATTGCAGAAAGGCATTCCCATCTTTCCATACTACAGTGGTACTTCGGTTCACGGTCTGAAATCCTTCTAAGATTCTTCGGAAGACGGCCACAGTCGTGTTTGTCTCCTGATGCAGAATTCATGAACAGAAGCAGAATTTGCTGAACGCTTGTGTGTGTGAGCCCACTGTCTGTGAACAGAAGCATCTGCACACCAGGATGTTACACTGTAGGACATGCGGGCTGGCTGACTTTCAGGCAGGTCAGGAATTTCTCCTTTTCTGCTGAGTTATTTCCTCATTTTCCGCACTGATGAAGAGAAATGCAGCGCTGTCGGGTATGAAGAGCTCATGGTTCTGAATGTGTCCTGCTGAATGGCCAAGCAAGAGTGTTTTTCTAACTTGCCCCACTCCACAGTCCATGGGGCGTTGGATAACACCAGCCACACCGGCCACTCTGTCTCCCCAGGTGTTAGAGATAAAGTGAAAAGGCTGTGTTTTCTTTTGATAGCCAGTGAGGCTGAACGTTTGCTGGTGTTAATGTCTGCTGTGCTTCCTCACCATCAGTTTTCACCCCCTGATTTAGGAGCCTCGGCTGGTGTGAGCTTGGGCGTCTGGGAGCTGGGGTCCCCCTAAAGGGAGGCTTTGTGTGGACAGGTTTCTGTGAAAGCACTTCCCTGTGCAATCAGGCTCCCTAAGACCCACAACAACGTCTTAGAGCACTGGGGCAGGGAAGCCACAGGGTGAGGGTCCTGATGGGGCTGTCAGGGGAGGTGTTCTTACTGAGATTTACTGGGCTCGTTCCAGGCTGCAGATTCATTTCTTAGCCCAGTTTCCCCATGTGCCCTGAATAACAGAGCTGTGCAAACCAGTGTCACCTGGACATGGGAACCAACTGAAATCGGGCTTTAAAAAAATACCCACAACCTCATATAGTCACTTGGTCCTTACATATGCTGAGCCCCAAGTCACTCCTGTTTATCACCCTTAAATCCATGTGCACACACATGCACAAGCACACACCACGGTGGTTTAAGAGACAAAGAACCTCCCTGAGTCCTTCTAACCAGTCACAGGGGATAAAGATGTGGACAGACAAATAAGACCCAGAAAAAATTAATGTTTTTCTTAAACATTACTTCAGATCTAATAGGATTTTAACTGGATGGTGCATGAGAAAATGAGAGACTCCGAAGTAGGAGCTGAGTAGTTGACACTTCCTCCCACTGCCACCTTCTTGAGTGAGGAGGTCTGGGGATTTAATCGGGTAGCTCAGAGGAAGTGGAAAAGACCAGGCATCTGCAGTGGAAATCAAGGGGAAAACCAGTCAGGATGCTTAGTGACTCACGTCTGCAGCCTGGTCTTCGAAGGCAGCTCAACCCTGCCCACTCTGAGTGATGCTCTCACGGGCAGTGCCTGGGCATGGTGGGCCGAGTCCAACCAGCACTTCTAAAGGACAGGTCCACACCATGTCGAGCCCCTCGGGGGAGCCAGGCAGAGGAGTTTCAGCCTGGAGCACCTGGCTGCAGATCAGCGCAGCCGGTCCTGACCTCTGTCTGGGTCAAAGCCTGGAGCATTGTAGGCTGCTACTGGGGGCTTCACCCAGGCATTGTCCTGCTAGATTTCCACTCAGTGAACACTCTGGGGGCCTACTGTGTGCTGGCACTGGCCTTGGGATCCAGGCTGCATCAGTAGATAATATACAGTCCTGACCTCAGTGTGCTGGAGGGAGAAGAATTTTTTTTAAAGTGAAATACTGCACAATATTAGACAAACCGTGACCGGAGGGCAGCGTCTGTGGTGTGGTGACTGGGGTGTAGTGCCAACTTGTTTGGCTTCGGGATCTCCCCGGAGGTTGAGAGAGCTTCTTCTGGGAGTGTTCAAGTGGGTCGTGGAGGTGTGACCTGCGTACTCTATCTGTCCGTAGCCCACTTCCTGGCTGGCACTGTTCCCCTGCTCTACTCCCTGACCACCATATAGCTCTGCCCCTCCACACCCTTCCACCATGAGGACCCTGCCTTGGAGCTAGCTGACCATGGACTGAATCGCCTTAAAATGTGAGCTAAATTAAACCCCTCCTCCTTTAAATTGTGAGTGTTGAGTATTGTGTCCCAGCAACGGGAAAGCTAACTGAAACAGATTTTTATACCAAAGAAATGGGGTCATTGCTGCGACTATACCCAACCGTGTAGTTTAGAAGCCTTTGGAACTGGTTTGTGGGAGGAATTTGGAATGATTTGGAGATGTGAGGTAGAGAAACCCTAGAATGCTGTAAATAGAGCTTGATGGGTAATTTTGGTAGGAACTCAAAAGACTAGAATACTAATAGGAATGTGAAAAATAAAGGCCAGGTTAAGAGAGTTTTCAGATGGGAACAAGGACTCCAGTGGTAGTTAGATTAGAGGTTATGTGTATTACGATATGCTCTGGTGGAAATTTTGTCTACATTTTGCCCATATCTTTAGGGTCTTCAGGATGAGGAACTAATTTATATGATAGAGGAAATTTTATAACTGCCTAACATTCAGGTTGTGACATGGATACTGCTTGCTGCTTTTAACCAGATTTATAATGAGAATTAAGAGCAAAAGGCATAGGGCTGGGGATTTAGCTCAGTGGTTCCACTGCCTGCCTCGCAAGAGCAAGGACCCAAGTTTGATCCCTGGTACCAAAAAAAAAAAAAAGGAAAGGCAGAGCAGAAATTTTTAATTTTAGGGTCAAAAGGAATCATGTAAATCGGGGGGAAAGTAACTATAGTTGCTGAAGAGAATATCACTAAAAATAAGCTGAGTACTTTGCATCAGAACAATAAGAATGATGTCTTGAGGGCACCTGAGGAAATGGCCAGACCCCACCTGCCACATGCTCATAGGTATAAAAGGGTAAGCTCTTTTAAAATATTTTGTTTTGAGAGGAGAGCCCCAGTGTGCCCTTCTCATTCTGAGCTACCTAAGGAAGCATTCCCCAAAGTTCAGCCATTCTGGCAGGGGCCTGGCTACTGGTCAAGCTGGCCTCAGGCTCTGGCATCACCCGCACGGTGCTGGTTTTTCAGGCCTGCAGAATGTAAGAATTATGGGGTCAGAGAGGCTGCCACCCAGATTTTTTAAAGGCCTAGGAAGTCAGACAAAGAGTCCCTAGGGCAGGGTGTGACACTTTGAAGCCAAAGGTGCAGTGGAGAACCCAGGAAGGCAGAGATGCCAGGAGTACCTGCTGAAGAGAGCTGCAGGCCTCAAGCAGAACAGCCCAAGGGAGACCAGGTGGGCTGCACCTGAAGGAGGCCTCTCAAACACTCACCTCACAGATGCCAGACAGGCAGCTTCGGGACATAAGGTTTGCTGTCTTACTTTGATCCTATTCTTTTCTATCCCTCTATTCCTTCATTTTGGAATAGGAATGTTTACCCTGTGCCATTGTACCTTGGGAATATGCAACCTATTTTTCAATTTTACAAAGTTTCATAGCTAAGAGTTTGATTTGAGTCTCAGAAGAAATTCTTACTTGGACTTTGGAAAAATGCCAGAACCATTGAGTCTTTGGGGAAGGGATTGTTGAGTTTCTTGTGCACAGGTGGTTAAATTTGTGAGGGAGAATTATGAAACTGGTGTCTACTCTTGGCAATTAGTGGGGTTGGGTGTGACAGTTCGGGTGCAGTGTGGACCCGACTGGCTTTGGGGTCCCCCAGGGGATTGGTGGAGTGCACTTCCGGGTGTGTCTGGGTGTGTCACAGAGATGTGAGTCAGGCTGCTATACTGGCCCAATGCCTGGCTGGCACAGTTCTCCAGTTCCGGCTACTAACTAAGCATCTTTGCTCCTCCCTTCCCTTTTGCCATGATGTTCCTGCCTTGGAGCCAGCTGCCCATGGACTCAATTGCCTTAAAATGTGAGCCAAATTTAACTTCTCCTTTAAGTTGTAGGTGTCAGGTATCATGTCCTGCAATGGGATAGCTGGCGATACCTGTGGGGAATGCTCTGGAAAAGCTTGATTTGTCCTTGAAACAACTGAGGCTCAGAGGCTTCTCTGGATGGATCACACAGCTCACACCTGGTGGAGCTGCCATCCGATGTGCCTTCTCCATCCCACCAGGCATCGGTTTTCTCCTGGGTAAAGTAGGAAGAATTTTAGTCACTTCATAGGCTTATGGTGGCATCAAATTAGAAAACACCTATGAAGGAAATTGAAAAAATTCAATAAATGTTATTTACAGTTATGATTACTATTGCTATTGAGCTATGATGTGCTATCCCATAGGTTTGGAAGGCTAAAAGGAAATGGAGGGTGAGAGAGTCAAAGTGTAGATGCAACATGATCCGTTTCTCTGATTTACTACCTATGATATATCAATAATCAATAAAAACACATTGAAGAGAGCCAGGGATTTAGCCTAGTGGTTCCGGCACCTGCCTGGCAAGTGCAAGGTCCTGAGTTCGATCCCTGGTACAAAAAAAAAGAAATCCTGCCCAGAGAGGAAGTACTGAAAAGGTCCACACAGGCAGGATTACCAAGGGCTTTAGAGTCCCTGTTTAAAACACATTGAAGGACTCCACCAAAAGTCTTCTAGACTTAATAACTGAATTCAGTAAAGTAGCTGGATACAAGGTCAATACACAAAAATCAATAGCTTTCCTCTACACGAACAAAAGACTCACTGAGAGAGAAACAGGGCAAATAATTCCTTTCACAGTAGCATCTAAAAAACTGAAATACCTAGAAATCAACCTAACTAAAGAAATCAAAGACCTCTTCTCTGAAAACTACAGCACTCTGAAAAGAGAGATTGAAGATGATATCAGAAAATGGAAAGACGTCCCCTGCTCCTGGGTAGGAAGGATCAACATAGTGAAAATGGGGCCGGGGATTTAGCTCAGTGGTTTCGCCACCTGCTGTGCAAGCACAAGGACCCAAGTTCAATCCCCGGTACCAAAAAAAAAAAAAAAAA